TTAAATCAGATGAATTAACCATGCATAATTTTTTTTATATAAGTAATTACCTTATAATTAGTGGATTTGATAGTGTAAATAAATTTCACACAATAATGCATAGAAATTTTTAATCATGCATTTTTCTAAAAAAGTCTCAACCTAGTTACTAATTATCACCGACAAGGAAAAACACTAATTAAAGTTAATTCAATCACTAGGGGAAAAAATTGGTCCTTTATTTTAATAATAAAGCTCATTGAGCAAATCAAAAGGCTTTGTGGGTCCTAAATGACCAATCATGTACAGATTTATTACACAGAGATATTGGCACTTTAAAAAAAATCTGTTTTGAGGTTAAACTCTGTGGAATCAGAAAAATAGAATATTTGAATATATCAAAAATAGTGAGAGAGGTATATAGATAATTTTTTTAATTCTCTAAAAGTTGATATTCTTGCGTATCACGAATGAAATTTATGATATATATATTCTCATATATTCATTCTAAATAGTGTGAATTTAAAAAAATTATAATACATAGTGTGAGTGTAGCTTTATATCGAATATTCACCTGAAGCTATATTAATTCGCTTAATATCTATTATATCTAACCACTCTATGTCAAAACGAATAAAAGTAAATAGAGAGCAAATTAATATACTAAACTATTGATTTGTTTGATAATTACTCAGACTATGGATAACTTATTATTAGGATACTGCTATTTCTAAAATTTCCTCTCTCTTTCTGTCTTCATTTGCCAATATTTGGTTCTTCAATGATGAGAATATATCAATATCTATATATCCTTTTGTTCTCTGACAAATTGACTTAATATATATTATAATTTTGTTAGATCCTCTCCCCACCCAACACGCACCACAATATAAATTAATTTAAAAAAAAAATTAGCAATAAACAATTCACAACCCCTTTTTGTTTCCACTTCGAGAATCTGGAATAATCTTTTGTTCTTATGTTTTCTTAATATCACTTCCAAAAATTACGCTGGATATATAAAATTAATTTTACATATAATATGGTAGATGTTAAATATTTTTGACGATAATAATAATATACAGATACTTATCAACATGGTTTATTATGGATGTGGCGTCAACTATACCATTCGATCTTTTAGCGTTGTTGCTCACTGGCAAACACCAAGTTGGCGTTTCTTACTCTGTTTTAGGAATGCTCAGATTTTGGCGTCTTCGCAGAGTAAAACAATTTTTTACCAGGTATAGTCCTCATTTTTACTACTACTAATTCATTCTTATTAGTTATTGTTACTATCGTTAGTTACATACTTCTTTTTTAATTTATCATTAACAGACTTGAAAAAGACATGAGATTCAGCTACTTTTGGGTCAGATGTGCCAGACTTCTATTTGTAAGTACAATAATTTAACATCTAATTTTAACTTCTTGTTACAAGTAATTTTTTACTGATGGTTAACTTTAGGCTGTCTTTTTAGATGACGTGACAATGTAAAAATTTGTATATTGTCGGTGTACATAAGTTAAACTCATAAAAAGAAGCTAATTTTAATTGTATGTAACAGGTGACACTATTAACAGTGCACTGTGCTGGATGCCTATACTATTTGCTAGCTGATAGATATCCACATCAAGGAGATACATGGTTAGGAGCTATGAATCCAAATTACAAGGAGACAAGTCTTGTGATTAGATACATTGCAGCTTTGTATTGGTCCATTACCACCATGACAACAGTTGGTTATGGTGACCTTCATGCCGTCAACACTTTGGAAATGGTCTTCATCATTTTCTACATGCTCTTCAATCTTGGCCTGACAGCTTATATAATTGGTAATATGACCAATTTAGTTGTTGAAGGAACTCGTCGCACTATGGAATTCGTAAGCTTTGTTACTTTTCTTTGTATTGCAAGTGTATACAAATATTTGATCATCAAATAAGTGTTTTGTTATGTTATGTTGCAGAGAAATAGCATTGAAGCAGCATCGAATTTTGTTTGTCGAAATCACTTGCCTCCTAGATTAAAAGACCAAATATTGGCTTATATGTGCTTAAGATTCAGGGCTGAGAGTCTAAACCAGCAGGAATTGATTGAACAGCTTCCCAAGACAATTTGCAAAAGCATAAGGCACCATTTGTTTTTACCAACAGTGGAGAAAGTTTATCTTTTTAAAGGTGTCACAAAGGAAATTCTGTTACTTTTGGTAAGACATAACTTTTGTTAGAAAATGGTTTTAGTATACATGTATAATTGTGTGTGTTCTAATTGATGAATCTACAGGTTGCAGATATGAAGGCTGAGTACATACCTCCAAGAGAGGATGTAATAATGCAGAACGAATCACCAGACGAGTTGTACATCATAGTGTCAGGGGAGGTGGAAATGATTGAATCTGAAATGGAGAATGAGCCAACTGTTTGGACTTTCAAATCTGGAGATATGATAGGAGAAGTAGGGGCATTGTGTTGTAGACCTCAGAGCTACACGTATCGAACCAAAACACTTTCACAGCTCTTGAAGATAAGAACTAGTAATTTGATTGAAGCAATGAAAACCAGACAAGAAGATAATATCATCATGATCAAGAACTTCCTTCAGGTTAGTGCAGAATACCCTGTGATATTCCTTTCCCTCTGGACAATTTAGAGCTGAATCTTGATATTCTGCCAATTGTTATGGTAATTGCAGCATCATAAGAAGCTCAAAGGCTTAAGGCTTGGAGATTTACTTCATGGAGTGGGGGGAGATTATGGTGATCCAAACATGTATGTTAACTTGCTAACTGTTGCTAGTACAGGTAATGCTACTTTCCTTGAAGAACTTCTCAAGGCTAAATTAGATCCTGATATCGGAGACGCTCAAGGAAGAACTCCACTGGTACGTCCCCTCGTGGCCTACGTTTATACTCAAAAAAAGAAAAGATTTAGTTTTCATTTACATGTTTGTGATGCCAATAACATTGTTTTCTCTTTCAAACAGTTTATGACATGATTATGTTTCTCTTTCTGATGCATCAGCACATTGCAGCATCGAAAGGGCATGAAGAGTGTGTCATGGTGCTTCTTAGACATGGATGCAACATAAATCTCCGAGGTAGTCATCCTGAATATGTATTATTGTAAACTTCAGCAAGCTTGAATGATTGACCGGGATAATTGGCTAATCATTGAGTTGATTTGTACCATAAAAAGCAGATGTAAATGGTCACACCGCGTTGTGGGAAGCTATAGCAGCAAAACACCATTCAACATTTCACGTGTTGTACCATTGGGCTTCCGTCTCCGATCCCTACATTGCTGGTGACCTCTTATGCACAGCAGCTAGAAAAAATGACTTAACAGTGATGAAAGAACTCCTAAAACATGGATTACAAGTTGACTCGAAGGACCGCGATGGATCAACTGCTATTCATGTTGCACTGGAAGAAAATCTTGAAGACATGGTAAAGCTACTTCTAATGAATGGAGCTGAGATAAACGATAAGTTAAAGTACAAGCTTTCTTCAATGAACCTAAATGACATGCTACAAAAGCGCGAAGTAGGACACAGAATTATGGTATCCGACACAATGGATGAAGTTGCTCAAAAATGGCGCCAACAAGAGAAGCAACACAATTCAGAAAGCACTAGGGATCAAATGTCTTTTAGAGTTAGCATATACAGAGGCCATCCTGTTATCAGGAGAAGAACTCATTGCAGTGAACCTGGCAAATTAATTACGCTTCCAAATTCACTTGCAGAGCTCAAGATCATTGCAGGTAAATTTACTTCTACATAGTTCATAATCTTTCAAATCTGACAACATCATATGTCTGCTAAAACGTTAAAACATGAAGAGAATTGGTAATATTATAATTGTTTGGAACTGAGACGTAGTCATGTTAATGTATTTACGTGTTTTACAGGTCAGAAATTTGGATTTGATGCAACAAATGCATCGATTACGGATCAAGAAGGATCAGAAATTGACTCAATTGAAGTAATAAGAGATAATGACAAGCTATTTATAGTTGAAGGTCCAAACTGCTTGTAGCAATACCTATTAGTGACACTTAAAAGTGTCTGTTAAGATGCATATATCACTAAAGAACTCAGAAGAAAAATGTATAGTGGACATACATTTCTTTCCTATTTGTGTGGCATATTGAGAACCTATTGCAGTGATATATACTCAAACTTTTGCCTGATCTTATTGCAGTGGAAAATCTACTGATGGGATCAAAAAGTTGACATTATTGGTGTTACTTTAGTATATTTGAGCCCCACACTTGCATGATTTAACCCCACAATCCACATACTAAAAGTTGAAAACTTTGTATTAATTCATTCCATTCAAATGTCAATTATCAGATTCTGAAAATCTTCTGGAGTTGTATCAATGTTTTTTTCTAGAGGATACCACATACAATTTATTTTAGCAAGGTTATTTGGAAAAAGAAGAAATCATGCTTAATGTTCCCATAGTTTCTCTTTGAAAACATAAAACAAAATTAAAGTTCTAAATTTATCTTTTCAATGAGTTCATTAAACACTTGATCACTATTTTGTATTCTTGTTATCACCAACTTTGAAGTACTTATAATTTTTATATGCCTTTTCCCATTATATTTATTTTAATTATCCGTGTCGACCATCGATATGAATAAAGGAAAAATAATTCGAAATATATTTAAATTTTGACAAAAATTGATATTGCAATCTCAAACTTTGAGCATGATTTATTATTCATGCGTTATTTAATAGTGTATTTTAAAGGTTTATATATATTCACGTGAATAAGTTTTTATTTATAATGATACAATATTTATGATATCCACGTAAACATATATATATTATGAAATACATTATTAAATAGTACATAAATACAAAGTTTTTTCCAAAATTCGGTATTAATACAGTGATTTCAATCAGATAGATTACAAGACATTTCCCAATGAATAAAGGGTAAATTAATCAAATTGGTGATTTCGTAAAATTATCCCTTCTTTTAAAAAAGCCTATGCAAAATGATTAATTTTTTATAACTGAATATGACATAAATTTATTGATTCAGATTTAATTACTATATTGAAACTAATTCACAACTCAAAGTTATTTTTAAAATATTAGTACAGGGCACTTTATCCTCTTCATTCACCATCGTCTCCCATTAACGCTATCGTACCAAATGTTCATTGTATCCAAACAACACATTTAAATACATGGATTAAATCTGCAAAAAGCAAATTTCATACACAACATATTCCTAGAGAGAGCGTTTCTTACAGTGATCAAATCCAAACCAAACTCCATTAGGAAGAAACTTATCATACTTAAAGGTAATAGCAGGACGATCTGGACCGTAAACTTTGACGCTCTCCGGTTTCCAGCCGTCCGATCCAACTCTCTTCAAATTTAGGTAGCAGATCTCATAAATACAGGGGCCACGGATCTGAAAAGTATCAGTAGAACAGCTTTCGAATATCTTCGACGACGGATCATCTAGCTTTGGCGCGTGAACCTCAAAACCGTAAGAATCTCCAAAAGCAATACTGACTCTGTCTCTGGTGTATTTAGGTGAAGAACAGCTTGTTTTGATTGTCAATGTGTATGAGCAGCTTCTAGCAGCAGCAGCGGTGCTCTGATTGGTTTCGATGTAAATTAGGGGTTTTGTTGAAGTTGAAGTAATTGATTTTGCTTGAGAGAGACAGAAGAAGAAAGCCACTAAGCTGGGGAACACAAAGAGGTGAACACTCATCTTCATTATCACCATTTAATTTTGATTATTGTTGTTGACGAACTTTAATAGTCTCACCACCCCTATTTTTCTTTTTTCTTTTTCTTTTTTTACGCATCAGGCATTGCGTATCGCATTGACGAAAGAGATTTCAATGCAACGTGGCTACTAAAAACAGTAAATAAACTTTTTAAATAAAGAATTGGTCCTACATTCTATAAACTACTACTCCAATATTGGAGTTAACTCTATACGTAATCTGGAAATTTCGTAAATAGTAGTAATTATAATAAAGTTAATTATATTTTATAGCTATAGTTTATATATTTAAGTGTTATAATTATCACTTAAATTATTTTATTGGTGATTTTGTATAATTTGCGCTTATATTTATTTAATTGAGTTATATTTGTATAAATTTGAAATAACGAATTGATACAAGCACAAGCATCTGAATTTTAAATAGTTACACAAATTATATTATACAAACGTTATACAAACTATGAATAGTACAAGATTTGAATTATACAAATTCAAAGACTTAGCCCATGTAATTATCGTTGAATGTTGATCGCGAGTGGTAATCAACAAAAACTATGACAATGATGACTAAGAATTAGTATATATTTACATAATCATGTAGTTTAAGAATTAGTATATATTTACATAATCATGTAGTTTAGTATTCCCTCCGTCCTAATTTTGCTTTTTCCTTTAATTTTACTTTCGTACTTCAAAATTACTTTGAGTTTACAATTTTATATCGATTCAAAACATTAAAATCTAAAGTAAGAACTCAAAAAGAAACTCTATTCCTATTACTTTCTCTTTGTGTTATACTTGAATAATTCTTTTTGTGTCAGTTATCATTGTTTCTATTTTATAAATGTTCTATAAGATACATTATTTCCTTGTCAAGTTAAATAATTGAAGAAATCATATTTATTTTATAAGTACTTTTTATTATTAATTCAAAAATCAAACTATTTTAAAAACAAAATTGATAAGCTAAGAAAAAAATATTTTATCAATTTAATTATTCATTTATTTAACATATACATAAACATAAAATTCATAAATTAAAGTGATAACACATAAATCAAATCGACCAACCCAAACCACATGTCACCAGACACGTGTCAATATATTCCCCAAACGCATAGTTAATTAATCAAGGGTCCAAATATATAGACAGCTCAATTTTCTTTATTTTATTTTTTAATTGATTAATTATATACATACACAGAATATTTATATTTATATAAACTAACAATTTGGAGTGTCATAATTCTTCCACCTCGAAACTTTTTGATGTGATAAAACATCTTCCAAACATATATATATATTGGAAGATGCGGATCTAACATAAAATCAGGCTCAGCTGGAAATTGTTAACAAATTTGGTTATTCCTACTTACTAAAAAAAAAAAAACGTTGCCGTTTATAATATGAACACATATATTTTCCTTTTTATTACGTAGATGCTGTGAATGAAATTATAATAAGGTTTAACCAAAAAAAATTACAATAGGGCGAATCAAAATCCCCATTTATGGATACAACGCATCTGATAAAGTTCATTTATAAAGGCTAAAATTGTAACAACAAGGTACCTGAGAAATCAAAAAAATACCTTTATTTGGCGATAAACTAATCTCTGAAAGCAAACAAAACAGAGATTAAATACATAAATTAAAAAAACAAATTTGATGGATAGTGGAATTCTACGGCAGATCAGCTACATGATCTTACGACAGTGATTAAATCCATACCAGACTCCATTAGGAAGAAGCTTATTATATTTAAAGGTAATCGCAGGACGATCTGAACCGTACACCTTGACGCTCTCCGGTTTCCAGCCGTCGGATCCAACTCTCTTCAAGTAAAGGTAGCAGATCTCATAAATACAGGGGCCGCGGATCTGGAAAGTATCCGTAGAACAGGTCTCGAATATCCTTGATGATGGATTATCTATCCTGGGCGCATAGACCTCAAATCCATAAGCATCTCCAAAAGCAATACTGACTCTGTCTCTGGTGTATTTAGGTGAAGAACAGCTTGTTTTGATGGTCAATGTGTATGAGCAGCTTCTAGCAGCAGTGGCGCTATGATTGGTCTCGATGAAAATTAAGGGTTTTATTGAAGTTGATGTTGCTTGTGAGAAACTGATGAAGAAGAATACAGCTAAACTGAGCACAACGAACTGACCACCCATTTTCAATGTCATTTAATTTTGATAATTGTTGTATTATGTTGAATTTTAATAGTCGCACGCCCCTCACCAATCAACAGCCCAATTTTTAAAAAATTTATCACGCATCTGGTACACTCCGTTATCAATGAAAGGGATTTTTACTAAAAATAAATGAGATTTGTTTTAGTTAGTTCCCAAAAAATATTATATTTTTGTATAATGTTGAATTTTAAATATTTTTTAAATTTTTGTATCCAAATAAATGGTAAAAATTAGTCAAAGTCAAATGTATAGAGATCCTCATTTTTCCCCCTTTTAAAATAGGAAATATTGAATTAGAGATCTTTTCTTTTCGCCTCGGTGGATATCCATTAAATGTCAATTGGTTGGGCCATAAATTTTCTGATCATACTCTCTGGTAAGCCCAACTAGTTAAGATTCTTTTTGCATTATATATATTATTATACAATATTTATGTAAGGTTACTTAGCAATATGTATAAGCAACAAACAAAAATTCAATATAATGGTCATATATATATAATGTATAATCATGTATCAGAGATGTATATACATCTATAGTCATTGTTTATATATATACAAAAATAAGTAAATTTATGCACTTTTCCCCTATATTTTAGATGATTACACTTACCTTTCTAGTTTTAAATTTTAATCCACATTGATTTTGTAAGCTAACAATCATATTATCTTGGAATTGCTAGCAGCTGAACTGTTGCAAGGAAACTATTAGTTTGTCTCTTAAATCTAATAGATAAAAAGTTCTCATTTAGTGCAACTATATATAAGAGTTTAATTTAGATGCACAAGATTACAAATTCCTCTACTGTACAAATTGTCAATCTTTTCATTTCTCTAACACAATTAGAAGAAGCTAATTCAAAACCCTCCTATAAAATAAAAATAATACCACGCTGAAGTAAATAGGATTCTTATGAACTACTATAGTTATAGTATATGGATTAGAATGGAACACGAGGATGGAATAAAAAAATCACCTCTCCGAAATCGTGTTAATTAAAAATTAGTTGATCTACTGTAGTACCTTCTCAATTTCACCTATTGTTTGTCTTATTTTTTCTTTTTCGGTTCGTTCAAAATGTATACACCCGTTTTTTTTTACTCTTTAATTCGTATAAAGTTAAAATAAATCAAACAAATTATAACGAATAGAATAGTGCGTACCACATATTTCATATCCAATTATATATATCCTTTGTACGTTTTCTTGATTTGATTGATTTCAGCAGTGGTGCTCTGTCATTTCATTCCAAAATAAAATTTGAACGATGGATGCAATTGGTGCTGCATATCTCCATCAAGATTGATTTTGTGTTTACAAAAATTGAAAATAAAAAATAAAAAAATGACAATGATTGCAGTACTTGAGAACCAGCCAGCTATAAACTTCCATTTTGATTATATATATCAACTGAATTCATCTCATTATTATGAGAAGTAGTCAAGAAAGCCAATTAATGGGCCATGTGTTATCTACTGACAAACAAAATACTACAATTTTGTTGATTTTTTGATAGCTGACACTTCAAACTACAGCAAATGGACTACATACCTAAAATTTGCACAGGTTAAATGTATCCATGAAGTTTATGAATGTCGATAGTTATAATAACAATAACATTTTCAATCAACCCAACAAATTATCTCATCATGGGAGAGGTTTGTCCTTCATGTAAGGAGATCAAATTTCCATTTCTCTATCGATGTGGGACTTCTTAACACTCCCCGCACGTCCAAACCTCAACCGGAGTGTGACACTTTTACATGGAGGCCCAAAATCGGTGAATAATAAATTGGGATGGGTCTAATTCTCATACCATATAAAGATATTACACCTTCTAACCCAAAAGCTACGGTGGTGGACCCAAGATTTTTACGAAATGGGTTCAAGATATAAAAAATAAAACTAAAATGTTACAACAAGGATTCCTGGGGCTGGCTGGGAAAATTGAACCCTTGGTGTGTTTAGTGGGGTTAAAATATATACAAGGTGTTATTTTTCTACGAAGTGGGTTCTATATGAACCCACTTCACCCTTTGTAGGTCTGCCCCTGGAAAGCTAACTCATGAGAAGAGATTTGTCCAAATTCATATAAAAAGACCAAATTTTCATTACTCTACCAATATGAGATTATAATCGATGTAGATATATATATATATATATATATATATATATATATATATATCGTACTTAAAGGGGTATATTTATATCCTCTGCATATGTTTTTAGTGGGACAAGAAGCATCAGAAACAGGTTGAGAGAATAGACTCATTACCAACGAAAAAAGTACAATATTACAAAGGACTTATTGTTATAGCAAGAAATGATGATCAGTCAGTTTTGTAGGTATATTTTACATGATTTGATAGTGTGAATAATATTATTTTTTTCCACTTCAATAATATACAAGTTGAATCAAATACCATAATAATACAATGTGGAAGATATGAGTACTAGCTAGTACAATACAAGACGTTATGGGGCCAATTTCAATATTCCTAGAATGGTACTACTTATAATTTTGAAAACAACTTCTCAGACCAATTTTCTGTTAACTTAAACTTCGCGTATCCTCATTGAATCATTTTTTATTTTTAAAAATCACTATTTTCCCGTCATTAAAATTTCTTACTGGAAAATGTTTAGTGGCTATTCTTATCGATATTTTGATTGATTGATCAATGAGAAATGATGTTTTCTCGCTAGAAAATTAGGAAGCTTCAAAATATTTTATGAAAGAATATCTTTTCCGCTATATATTTTTTCCAATTAGCTAGTTCGATAAATAAATGAGTGAAAAAAATTATGTTTTATAATATAAAATTTTCATTGATTAACGATAGAAAAAACTTTTGTTTTTAATTATGAATTGAACAAAGTTTAGATCGAGTTGTGTCATATGACTTCAAAAATAAAACTCACTGATCACTAATGTGTGGTTGGAAGGTTTTGAACCATTGACCACATGTCTGGTTGTAAGATGAAATATTGAACTATTTACTCTATTAGTCATATTAATAATGTATATATCATGAATATATCGTGCATATTAATAAGCTAATTAATCGAACGGTATATATGTATAGCTTTCCCTTTAAATTAATACTACTAGCTTGTAGGCTCTTAAGATTTGGTTTCATCCTAATGGTATTGACTTTCTTTTCTATACGGTATTTGGAACTAACATAAACTTTTACTACTTCACTACTTTATGCTATTTCTATTTCAAATTGATTGACATATTACAATAAGCCAGCTATTCCAGTTGTTCCTATGTCAAATAATTAGTAGTATGCTTTTGTTTTTTCTACTAAAAATAATCGTTGTGAAAAGAGTTTCTTTCTATTTGATTGATTACAAATTGAAATTTTTGATTGACACCACTTTAGAAGATTTTTTTTTTTCAAAACTCTTTTGGTCCCCTCCAAATTAAAGTGCTATTGGGTGTGGCGGTGGCTTCGTTCATGTTTAAACAATTGACCATAAATCATACTCTCTCATGACTTCTCTTTATCGAGAAAAAATTTACTCATATTCGATATTTATACAGAATTAATGAAGCATGACACCTATTTTACTATGCACAATTATTAGTGTAAGCAAACTACTGATTATTAATTTTATATGATCTAAAATTATTTTTTTAGTTATCTAATAACTTTTATCAATATAAGTATCGGATAATTTTGTCTATCAAAGCTTAATATTTTTGCGCCCAATGATATTTGAACTTGAGATCAGGTAATTTTCAAAGTCGGAGTCATTGACCAACATGTCACACGCTTTGGTGCACTCACCATTACACTTTAGTTGCAATTGGATTTGATTGATTTTGAGGTTCACCAATTTTCAGCATTACAAAACTCATGTGGTGTCCAATCCTTCCCATGAAATATCCTATCATACTAAAAACTAAAATGATCTCTAACCCTTTAAAGAATTGTACCAAGTTTGCTGGAACATCCTCTCTAGGACCCCCCAAAAAAAATAACAACTTATCTTGATTAAATTTTTCACCAACATAGGAATCAAAAGTTCAAAACCGTCTCGCCACTAAAGCCATTATATGGTATATCGCACGTCGAAGGTTGACAAAAAAATGTTAGGCTAAAAAGATAAATTTGTAGGTGTAGTATGGATGTCCCCACATTTTTAAGTGGATTTGGAAACTGGAATTCCATTTTGCAATTCCAATACAAATTGTACTAGTCCTATAAATTTGCCAAATTTCAATGTAGGAACAAGCTAAGCATGCATTCTTGAATATTTCCCCCATTTCAAAAACAAGATCCCTGCTTTTGATGATACACATCTACTATACATCATTGATGCACAAGAAAGTTTTGGGCTCTGCCAAAAGCAATAATAATAATAATAATAATAATAAACCATTTGATGTTGGAGGTATATAATCCAAAAACGGTTCAATTAAATCACCTTCATCGAATTATAACGTATAGTAAATTATTGAGCTATATGATCTAAGGGAAGTTGTAGTAGCAAATGAGGCTCAAACATTGTATCAGTTCACAAGTTTAAATCTAGTTATGTTGATTTTGATACCCTGCAAAAAATATGTCGATCCTGTTTTTTTCTTTTTATTTGTTATGATATTGGTGGGGTGTTTTTCTTTTCTTTTTTTTTGTATTGAGGGGACCAAGTTAATGTTAGCGGCAAGTTCGTGTATATTGAACTTAGAAGCAATATATTGCTTTTCATAAAATCTTTCCCAAAAAAGTATAATTTTAACTTGTAAAAGTGAAAAATGAGGGGGCCAGTATCTGTAATATAATAATCTCAACTCCAAGACCTCATCATTAATATCTCCTTAAACTTCCCCATCATACAGCTAAATAAATTATCAAAAGAATAATTATAAATTAAATTAAATGGAGAAAAGGGTGAAAGAGAAAAAGAAGCACTCAATTCCAAGATTGAACCAAATCAAAATTGAAGGATGAGAAGACATAAGAATAAGAAGTATCTCAGTCAAAGTAGTCAAACTTTTACAGCCCAAGAAAACAAAATCTAGGGCCTCATAGAATAAAGAGCTTCTATAATATATTTAATAATACAACGATAATAATAATTAGGTCTCAATCTCAGTTAATTCTATTTCATTTCTTCATTTAAGCTCGTATCATATAATCAACATATTAAGAAATATTAACTACGCCTATATAAAAGCTTATTTAGATGGTTATAAGAGGCGATACAATGAGATCAGTTTTATGAGTTATGAACTTCATATTAATAACTTCAAATGATAATAATTTGATTCTAAATGTTATAATTGAACATCTAGAATGAATTTCTTTAAAAATTAATACATTGTTTGAGCGAAATATACTACGTTAGACTTCTAGCTCCTGATTATTAATCTTTAGAGTGAATTAAGAAGGAGGATTATGATAAAATAACAATCGGCGTAAAACTGTCGATTCGAAATAAATAATTCTATTTAAGAATAAAAAATGAAAAAATAGAGATTTCTCCCTAACTATCATTTTTATGTGCAGACCCCCTTTTTGATTCTTGATTCTTGAAAGGTCCTGCAGACTAAATCTTTATGAATAGGAAAGTGTAATGCCTTAGGCCAACTCATGAACTTGTCATGTTTGCTTTTTTTTTTTTCATTTGGACTTAGAAATTTTCCCCCTTTTTTTTAATTTTTCCTTTGCCTTTTTCTCCTTTGCAGCATTTCTCTGCTTCCTTTAAATAATGAATATGGCAGATTCTCCAATCATCTCCTCCACTCTGTAGGAAACACACATAATTGCACCCAACAACCAAATCCTTTTCACTATATAGACTCCTCTTATCTCACTTCAAAAAAATATATTCATCACCTTTTTTTTCCTTCTAAAACTTCAACAAAAAGAAAAAGAAAAAATCTTCATGATGAGTCATTCTTCATCTACAACTTCTGTTAATGGATTCTACAACTTCTTAACTAGAGGACTTGACAATCTTGATCACTTATTCCTATCTCAAAACTTCATGTCTTTTCATTTTCTTCAACATGTTTTGTCATCTTTAAGGTCTTTTCATTCCCAATTAACATTACTAGTTCAAAAGTTACATTTGCCTGTTGGAGAAAAATGGCTTGATGAGTATATGGATGAAAGTTCAAGGCTTTGGGAAGCTTGCCATGTTCTTAAATCAGCAATCACAAGCATGGAGAATTATTACACTGCTGGTGCTAATTTTGCTTCTTCTCTTGATGATCACCACATTTTAAATCCCCTGCTTTCCCGCCAGGTGGTTTGTTTTATATTGAAAAATTGATCATTTCTTTCGTTTAAAGTTGTAATCTTTAGTAGTACTAATTTGTGTTGTGGATTGCAGGTGATTCGAGCGATTAATCGGTGTCAGAGGGAAATAGTAGGACTTGAAGAAGAGAACAAGAGCTTAATGGAAACAAGAATGCAAGATTTATCATTGAATTTCGACGAAAATGTTCTGATAGGATCAAAATTCAATGGATTTAGTGGGTTCAGAGGAGTGCTTTATGCAATGAAGAATGTCAGTTCATTGCTTTTGGTTATTTTAGTAAGTGGACTTGTATATTGTTGGCCACAAACAAGTTTTTACCAAAGTGGTAGTAATGAAGGGAACATGGTTTTTGGTTCATCTTTTATGGTTTCCACTTCAAGATTGTATCAAAGAGTTGCAGCAGAGGTGAATCAGGCTGAAGGACAACTCCCAGGGATACTACTTTTCGAGTATCGAAGAGCAAGAGTAGCCATGGCTGAGCTGAAAATTGAAGTAGAAAGAGCAAAAGAATGTGGAGTAGTATTGTCACAAGTTGACATCCATGATAAGATTGAAAATTTGAAAGATTGCTTTGGAATGTTGAAATGTGGGGCAGAAAGCATCATTGGACAACTTGATGACTTCTTTGATGAAATAGTTGAAGGAAGAAAGAAACTTTTGGACTTGTGCACTCATAGGTAATTTTTAAAGGACACACAAGGGGGGGAAAAAATATGTGCCTTCATTAGGAGATGGTAGAAATGTAACAATAACTTTAGTGGGGTAGTTTTTATTACATCTTTAAAAATGTCATTTTTCCTATTTTGCAGCTAAAGTTTAGTCTTGAAAAACTTTAGGAGGAAGTTTTCTCTGTCAAGTAATGCATGAATATTATTATCCTCAAGGGAAAAAAAAAACAGAATGTGATTCTTCCTTTGAATAAAAGTAAAACATTATAAACAAGAAGAATATGTTGGATAAAGATAGCTTCAATGAAAAATTAAAAAAATTATCCACTCAAAATGTGGATTCTTCTCTTTTATCATCAATATAACTGCATCAAAGATAAGAATTGTCTGTTCTTGTTTTACTGACCAATACCAGCAGTCAGTCACTTCAGTGGGAATAACATAAGAAGATTGATAAGAATCACAATTATCATATATATATATATATATATATATATATATACACACACACTACTTTTATTATTGTATATTGTATATATAAATTTTGTTCATTCTACCAACATATTTAATCACATCTAGAATAGTGTCCTCTATAGTTTGTGTATTTATTTAACTCCCAATTGATACCCCACTCATAAATGTTAAATCACCTATGATCTGTTACATGTCCTTGCACTTAAACTAGCAATTTTGTTACTATGGTTAGACCTCTGAGTTGGGGCATCATATTATCGTAGACGAATTCAAAATTTATACTTGTTGTTTTTAGTATTAAATGTACATGTATATTTTAAAAATAATAAGTTCACGTATGTAACTATCCCATGTGTCAAGAAGATTAGGTTTAGTTGAATCTCTAATTAGCTCCATCGACATCAACATGTATTGTTAATTATTTTCACCATTATATCCAAAATGTCTTTCTCTATTTATAAATTACCAAAAAAAGATAATGAAAGATGCCTCCCCTCCCTCTCTCTCTCTCTCCTGCATCATTGATTTAGAATGATGATTATGATTACAATTCAACTACTTAAAGGCTATTTATTCCCCAACCATACAAATATGAAGATACATAAATGATTATCCCAACTAACATAATAAATTACTTGTTCAAAGGCAACATTTTGATGTGTTGAGGAAACATAGGAGTTGAAAGAATAATTTATTTTAGTAACCAAAAAAATTGAATTTTTATAATAAGATGGGTTAGCTAGGTTTAGGTTTACTGAAATTAGAAGATGCTTCTTCTGTCAATTGGAAAAGAATGTGATACCACCTAAATAAAGTAAATAAAAAGGAATGATGCTTCCTGCCCACATGACACAACTATTTTGTAGAAAATGACACCCTTCTTAATAACACACATTAGATACATCTTTTTAACTGGTTATAATCACAGCCAACCATCCCCTTTTAAGTTTTGTCTAATTCACACATTAAAACTTGACCTTGATTAATTAAGGATCTTAAATTTGATTTATTCACAGGCTAAAAGTTGATGTTGGGAAGAAGAAGAAAAAAAAGGTTCTTTTTAGCTTTTTTCTGATAAGGCAATTCAACGATTTTTCTTTTTAAGAAACGACTGGTACAAATTCAAACAGGAAAATAGCTCGCAAAAGGTAGTGAAAAATAGTTTGCTAATTTTGGTCATAACCCTGCATTTTAAAAAACTAAAAATGTTGGCTACGTCGTGATAATTATATAGTTGAATTTGATTTTATTGTGAATCATTGATGAGTTGTATTAGTAAAAAATACTAATGATTCAAGTTGTGAAAAAAAGTAATGGAGAAGTGGGCGGAGACAGAGGAAGAGAAGGATCATGAGATTCCTGGCTGTGGCTGCTAGCATTCATTTCTTTTTTTTCTTTTAAGAGAAGGAAGCTTTTGTCTGATTCCCAGAAAAAGGATGTCTTATCTTTTTTTTTTCCCTCAAGGAAGCAAACAATGAGAAAGAGTACATTGTAGCATGTGTAATAGTAATTGATTGTTGTTTCTAGTAATAGTCGAATAAATGATGATTAGAAGAAAACAAGCAGCTACCTCTCTATCAATAGGGGTATATTTTCTTGTATCCTACCCTCTGACTCCCTGCGGCTGTGTAAATTGTGATTCCACTTTTTCTTCTCTGCTCTAATTATTATCTTCTTTACAACTAGCAACTCAGACTTGTTCCTTTCAACTATCCAAATCATGATCACTTCTTTTCCCAATATCTCAAAACCCACAAGGGAACGGAAAAACAACAACTTTCTTTCTGCACTTGCTATAACCAACCTTACTGGGACACTCTAAACACCTGCTCTTATGTCTTCGCATCTTTAACTCTGCCAACTCCATTCCTACCAGTAAGCCATGGCAATATTCTCACAGGGATGGATATAAAAACATTCAATAAATCCACAAGTACTTCACCTGAAACTGTGCTAATGTAAAGCACTACAACAGTAGCCCAGGCAAGACGACTCAACACTTAAAATGGAAGGGGGAACAATATAAATTAGAGTATATTAACACACATTGCTTGACAGTAAATTTACGCCATCATTTCAAACCTTCCCTTTAATTTTCCTTCGTTTCTTGTTTACTCAGATTTACGTATATTCAACCTTGTAACCTCTTCAATGAGAGAACTATAGAGTATATACAAGTTGAATGTTAAAGATATAATAATATATAGATACAACCAAGAATAGTGAGACCCGAAACGAGTGTGTTTAAAATAGCTATAGGAAAATGAAACAGTGACACTATTTAATTTACCAAAACCCTTGACAAAAAAAACTGACACAGACCATTACTTCAATTTACCATGGCAGTAGATAAGGATGCAAAACACTCCATTGTGGCATATCATAAGTTAATCCATGCCTGCTAAGCTCAACGGAAACTTGAACACATCACATAGCCTACTCAATCACTAACCACGAGTTGGGTGCACCGCTGTTCTCCCCATCCACAACAAAGGTTGGTCAACAAATAAAGAAAGAATTCCTCCACCAGAACTACATTTCCAGCTACATTATACTTCAAACCCAGGCATAGCAAAGAGGGTTGCAAAATTTTCAACACGTGTCCGTAACTCGATAACATCTTTATTGTTCTCAAGGCCTTTCAGAAAACCCTTAGCGAGCTTTCCATGCTCTCTCTGTATCGAATTTGTAATTTGTGCTGCCTTGAGGAGGAAATCTGCCATCGTATCAAAATCATTCTCTATACAGCCTCGTGAGGTCATAGCAGGGGTCCCTGCAGTCAGAACAAGAAAAATTGATTATGCAAACAGCTTTTCAACTCCTAAAATTTTACATATGTGCCTCCATAACCAAACTTACCGATCCTCACACCTCCAGGAGTAATACTTCCATTATCATCAAAGACCATTACTTTGTTGAGAGTGATGTGACACAACTCGCAGACCTTCTCAAAATTCTTGCCTGCAACACAGAAATACAAAGATCATCACTAATACATTCAGAACCAGCAAAGCAAGTCAAGCAACTGCAATTCTAATCATGGTGAAATAGGAACATCCTGTCCCAGAATCACAAGCAATAGAATTGGCACGGGATAATGAGTTATTTTTTAAGTGTACAAGTAAATCAATCAATGCCTATAATACCCTAGTTGAACAAGTGTTGTTAAAGGCCTGATTCTAGGCACATCGCCACACTTATGGACCGCTTCAGAAAGAATAGCATCAAACAAATAACTGTAGATGACAGTGATAGATTGGTTGTCATGAAATTTTATGGAAGTATATTAATAATTGGGAATAACAAATTAGAAATTGGACAACACAAGTAGTCACCAATATGAATTTGAAAATAGCTTACAAGTCATAAATTCAACATTATTGTTAACATGATTGGCATAGTTTTTCTTTTCATATTACACCGACTTCACAATAGTTGTTTTTTTTAATTTCACATTGCTATAAACACAAGGAATCTTATAACCTTTTCGTCTTTGATAATATTGAGTTGTGCTGGTTATGCCAGGAGTTAGCTCTCCTTGATACTTACATCACAGGCGTTGGACAATAATAAACGCCTTCTCTTGTACATAAAAACACTCAACTTTCAGACTGTGTCAGCAACTAAGCCAGGACCTAACTCTCTGGGAAGACCCACCTCACATGCCATTTAACAATTGTAGATGCTTTTCATGTCAAAAGTATATTTGCAAAGATTACAAATATTTTTTTAATAACAATTATAAGGTAAAATTACTACTATTTATCTTTAGCAACATTGGTGTCCATGATCCTTATCTCATATTATTGCCATGTTAACTGCAACCAACTAACTCTCAAATTTAAAATACATGTCTTCATGTTCTGTTCATAATGCCAGAGACAAGACAACATTCAAGTAGTAAGAGCACAAAAACAAAATGGTGCCTCCCAAACGATCTCCATTTCTTAACAAACACACACTTTTGATTGTTCTTTAAGTAATCAACTCAAACTTAAACAAGACATTCAATTGAGCAGGACGGAATCAATATATGACAAGCGGCCAAGACATCTCACCACAAGTAAGATTTGGGCAGACTCATTGCCTCTTGACAATCTTGCAATAGCAGCAAAGCAGATCAGACTTCTAAAGAAATCTCGAGACCAAACCTAACGAGATATACTGCCAAACTTGGATAAATATTGATCCCCAGGTCATAGAATATACTAACTTCATCGAAGAAGAAATGTACAATTCAGTAGCAAAACTGATAAAGAAGTCAAATCCGAAACCGGTGCTAGAGGAATTTACAGCAAATGATAGGAATGAAACATGAACGAAGAAGAGAATGCAATCCATTTACCTAACTAGGATGAAAAGAAGAGATAATTTTTTTTCATGAAGCAGAAGAGATGAATAATATGACCCAGTGCCTATGACCAGAAATGTCAATTGCCTTACAAAGGCTAGACTAGTTTCTTATTTATGTTCTCAGCAGTATCTTAGTCGACTGTAAAGGAACTGCCACAAAGCAAGCATACAGCTGACCTAACTATCTAAGGCTGGAGGCTTAGTTGATTGATAATATCCTACTCCACCGCCCCTTAATTTTCCAATTCATTCTTAAAAGAAATATCCAAATAGACAGGGAGAAAGGAAAATTATGGTATAAGACAAAAGAAATAACCAGATCTCATCAATGTATTTCACCAAAGACAATACTAGCTACCATATTTATTAAAAAAAAACAAAAGAGTTCACCAGAGACAAATGACATAACTTAATGAACAAAAGAGACTGGCAAGAGGTATAACAGAA